CCTGCATCAAGACGATTCTCACAGTAAACAATATGGAAATAAATGAAGGCATGAGAACTCAGTTTCTCAAAAATGTTTAGGCATTATTTTCATTTTCTAGAATTTACATTCTCCTTCATCTCTACCTTAGTACAGTGCTTGGTATCCATTGGTCAGCAGGTGACTGTTGAATCTATCCACAGACAAAGCAAATTGCCATTTTTGGTTAATGTGAAAAACCAGGGCAAGGTGGCTGGGTACTGACTTCCCAGAGTAGGAGTGCTGCTATGGGCATAGTGAGCCGAGCCTGCCTACACAGGTGCCTAGTTAAAGGCTTACTGCTTGGATAGTAAGCAGGATTCAGTGTCTGAGGGATAGCCCAGAAATGCAGGGAGCTAATATGTCATTGGTGGGGAGGGCAGGTCAGGAGAGCATTGCTGCAAACCCATTTATAGGTAAGAGGTTTCTGAAGAACAAACCTGTATTTGTTTGTGTTGTGTGCCTTTTCCTAGGGAGATGGGAGCAAACGTTTATTCACCCTTATAGGGAACCGGGAACAGATCAAAGAAAAGATTCCATCAGCGTCTGATGAGTCAGGGAGTTCACAGGGACGACTTCCAGAAGCCTGGGTGAAGGATAACTTACAGGAGGATGAGTGACTCAGGCTGATACATCACCAGAAAGCCCCACCCCAGCATGGGTGACAACCTGTGAAAGCTCCCTGTGCAACTTCTGGGAGGCTCAGCTGGCCAGAGTGGCCCCTTCCCAGTCAGTGTTTACTTCTTTTGTAACCTTATGGAGGTATATTACAAATCTTGTTAGCTTTCTGAGTCTTATTTTTCTTAGCTTAATGACTCTTAGGAGACTTTCTCCTTCTTCCTGGAGGGAACATTTTAATTAGGAGGAAATAGTTACTTAACACCTAAGATCCATGGGTTTCCTCTGATGTTTTCCCTATCTTAAGTAAATAGCCATGTTATACCTACCTTTTATTAAGATTTTGTATATTTTAAAAAATGTTATTTTAATATTTTATTTGCATGAATGATTTGCCTGCATGTGTATCTGTGTTCCATATGCATGCCTGTATTGGTATTGGCAGAAATCAGAAGAGGGCATCAGATCCCCTAAATGGAGTTACAGATGACTGCCAGCCACTATGTGCATTCTGGGGATTAAATCGGGTCTTTGGAAGAGCTGCTAGTGCTCTTGACCATTGAGTCATTTCTCAGCCCCCAAATTTTGTAGTTTTTCCTCAAGCAGTGTTGTCTAAATTGTATAAGTTTTAGACCCTCTGGTACCTGTATCTGATGCTGCTCCAGCATGTCTGTTATAGAGGAATAAGAAGATGAGGGCTGTCCTCCTTAGAGAAAGAACATAGGGGTTCAGACATGGCCTTTGGCCAAAAGTTTATACAAAGTAATGTGAGTTTTGTAGCCTGTGTTGCCTTGTAGGGGTAGTCAAGCTCAAGAGAGACATGGATACCTCTGCTCTCAAAGTAAAAAGGTCCCAAATAGATACTGGAACAGAATTAATTTTTAAGATTAAGTTCAAAATAAAGTTCTGGGAAAAGTTAGTGTTCTTAATAAAATGCTCAACCTAGTTTCCAGAAATCAATAGAATTAAGACTGTTTGGGGGGAATGTATCACCTATGAGTCAGCTGACTGTCAACAGCCTAGGTCTTTTACCCAAGATTTGTTTTGTGTCCAGTCTGGCAATGGGTATCAGAACATTATATTTTCATGTGTAATTTGCTTGCCAAGAGGGAATCTTTGGATTGTTTATTTCTGGCTTTGTTCACTAGAGAAAAATTACAACAAATTGTTGCTCTCAGAGGCAGCCTCTCTAGCATCTTTTCCATCCCCCGTTTCTCATCCTGGACTGCATCAATGACTGACGTCCTCCTTGTACATTCTTTTGGACTTTCATCTCTATCTTGCTTTGTTAAAACATTTCTAGGTATCTACTGTCTTTCCCCAACTGAACAGGAAGGTTTTAAAGACAAGAAAAAAAACCTCAAAGGTGCAGTCTGTTGCATATTTCTTTCATCTTTCTATCTTTTTATTGCCTCCCTCTTGGAACCCTGATCCCCCAGAGTCTAGCACAGGGCTGGGAAGGATGCAGGACTCAATAAACATTGGGCAATGGACTGGTTATTTCGTTGGAAAACTGGGGAATGAGCTAGGGATCCATTCTTTTGATCTACCATAGTGTATCCATGGTTACTTTGGTTAGATGATTATGGGGTGCCTACAACCATAAACCAAGCTGTGATGTTAGAGATGCAAACTCAGAGTCATGGCTTCATAGGCACCAACCAGAGCCATCAATGCCTTCAGACAGTCTCGTTTCTGGAAGAAAATAAACTCAGGTGAATCCTCTTTAACTTAGGTGGAGATAAGCTAAGCCACTGCTTTATTTTTTACAAAGACTTATTCTGACATTTGTGAATCCAGATACAAAAGTTCAGCTTAGGTTTAATATTTTTTGATCATGTGACATTATAAGTATTAGCTACAGAAATTTATAACTTTGTAAAAACTATATATTGTACACATCTTTTACTAAGCGTGTGTATCCTGAAAAATGTATTTTATAATTGTGTGAGCATCACTAAGTACACATACTTATCCTGGACAGTGTGGTCCTGATACAATCAAGAGACATAGCAAACACAAGATATGAGGCTATGGCTAGATAACCTGCACATTAGTTTCAAGTAATCTTTTAAATGAGGAAAGGAATAAAATAATGATAAATGCATATTATAGTACAGTACAATATAGTATAGTATAGTAAACATATAAGCCAATGGCATGGTGGTTTACTGCCATTACAAAGTATTATGCATTCAGTATAATTGTATTGCTATACTTTTATATGATGGGCAGTACAGCAGGTTTTTATGCACAACCCTAACTCTATTATTATAGCTACCTTGTCATTTAGGGCACAGGAATTTTCAGCTTTATTATAATCTTACGAACATTGTCTCATATGCCATCCCTTCTTGATCCAAATGTTCTATAGCAGGTGGCCATATCTCTGCTACGTCCCACTTTCCCCCCATGTAAAGATGAGATATATCTGGATCAGTTAGTAGACGCGGCTTACCATGCCTATCCTACAGGGATGTCGTAGAATTCTTATTAGACAAAATGGTTGTTTGCAAAGTACTGAGTGATGTCTGCTGTTACTAACAGCTATTCTAGCAATGGTGTACATATTCTCATCTCCCCCCTCTAGAAATTTCCTTTATCACACAGGGAACTTCTGAAGCCCGGGATGATGTGTCAAAATGGAGTGTGACAAATGAGGGAACAAAGCCTCAAAAAGCAACCTGGGCCAGGAATTTGCCTACACATTGCTGTGTGACTAGCAGTTGTCTGCAGCTCCGGTGACAGGGTGGCTCGCACAGTGCAGTCGTTTGTGATGTTTTCTGGGTCACAGACTAACTTCTGACCCATAGACACCAAGGTCCCCTCTCTGTCTTTCTTTGTTTGTCTTCTGATAATAGTTCTTCCGATTTTAGGGTCTTCAATACAGATGTGTTTATTGAGTTCCTATTTTCCATGTTGGGGACACAGACTATGGAGAGGTGAAGATGGAGATCCCTGTCCTGCCTGATCTCACAGCTGCTCTGCCCCAAATAAACACACAAAGACTTATATTAACTATTAAACTGTTGGTTGATGGCTAGGGCTTCTTATTGGCTAGCTATGTTCTTAATTATTAATCAATTTCTATTAATCTATATATTGCCACGAGGCTTACCTGGAATCCAGCATGTTACTCCTTCGGCAGCATGGCACTTCTTCATGGCCTCTCTCTCTGCCTTCCTCTCCCCAGCCTTCTCCTGGTCTGGTAGCCTCTTCTTCTTCCTGCCTGGCTATTGGATAATAGGTGTTTAATTCATTATCCAATAAGAGAAACATATATACAGAAGGACATCCCCCATCAGAAAGGTGACTGTGCCTGTTTGTCCTGTGGGTTAGCGGTGCAGTTCATGGGACCCCAACACTGGCTCACCAATGCATTACCACTTTGTATGTCATCCTATGCAGTTTATGAACACATTCCTTTCAAATAAATATAGAATTCCTTGTGCGTTCCACAAAGGAATCCTTTCTATGTATCATCAGGCATATAACAAACTTGGAAAGAATGTAGCAGATGGAACAGATGTGGACCATCCCCCCCTCCACAGAAGAGTGCTCAGGAAAACATTGAACATATTTATTTGAGATCCATAGCTAAGATGGGAAGACAGTGAGGAAAACTCTCAGGTACTAGAAAGGAGAAGGAGCTGAAAGCTTGATTGGCAGACAGGAGCTGATCTTAGGATAGACAAGTGGGTGCAGATAAAGGGCTTCAGAGATGGATGCTTTTATGCCCAGCTAGAAACAGGAACGGAGATCTCAAGTCTCTGCAAGACAGGGAGTTAAAAGGGAGCCCCCTGCATTGAGCCAAAGGGCTGGCTTTTCCTTGGAGAGAAGATTAGAAATAGGCTTTTTACTGGTTTGGGGGAGTTTGCCATCTGTTTCAGACCTTGCATAGCAATAATGTCACCTCAGAGAAATCAAAACACTAAATATGAATCATGCTTGGATGTTCAGTCAAAATTATACCTTGCCTTGATTCTGCAGAATGACACTTTGACAAGCAGGAAAAACCCTGGGGTTGTGGTACAGGCTGCTGCAGAACAGAATGCCCTTAGGGATGAATCCATAGGACCCCCACTCTTGATCAGCTTAATATAAAAATCTAAGTTATCCTAGGAAATATTCCACACGGGAAAGGTGTTCAAGGAAGGAAACAACAAAGTGACTACTCTATGAATTGTATAAATCCAAACGACAGAAAAAGAACTAGGAGTGATACTATTTGCTATATGCCACATGCTGTTCAAGGAGAGCACTTTGCAGGTATTACTTTTATGTATTCTTTGCTTTTCTGTTGCTGTGGTCAAACACCATGACCAAGGCAACTTACTGAAGAAAGGGTTTCTTTGTGCTTACAGCTCCAGCAGGAGAAGAGTCCGTGATGGGGGAGTGAAGGAGTGGTGAATAGAGCAACAGCCGAGGGCTCATATCTTGAACCTCAAGCACAAGGTAGAGGCAGCATTCTAGGATGCGTGGCTTTGACTTCAAAGCCCACCCCCAGGGACCAACTTCCTCCAGCTAAGCCACACCTCTCAAGCCTTCCCAAATTGTGCCACCAACTGAAGGTCAAGTATTCAAATTCCAGTGCCTATGAGGGACATCTCATTCAGATCACCACACCTTCTCATGGGGTCTGGTGAGTTAAGAGTCTGTGACTACACTGCACAGGTGAGAAAACTTAGGTGGAGCTTGGCAAATACAACCAGAGTCAGCAAATGGTGAAGCTGGATTTGACAGCTGGCTCACTGCTCAGTTTGCCTCTTAACTAACTACCGTTAAAGGGGCCTCCACCATTGTTTTTCCCTTCTTCACACAGATGGAATGAGACGTGGGCAGATGGGTACCTGATTATTGCACCACTTTTCCCAGCCTCTGTTGCCTTTAGGTCGGGCCCCAGGACCTAGTTCTCTCTGATGAATGAGATGACACTTCCTGCAAGGAATCAGAAATTAGAAGAATTTCTCCCCTAAGAACTCATTCTTTTCCAAGTTAGCCACAGCTTAGTTGTAGTAGTGATGTAACTTCAAACATGTACATGAGGACAATATCCTTCCATAATGGCATAAATCCAAACTACCCTCTAGTCTTCACTATCTACCTCCTCATGTTGCAAGAGAAGCACTCTTTCACCTCCTTTAAGCTTCAGGATAGCTGTGCCAGCCATGATACAGCATCAATGCTCCCTGAAAGCTGACTGTGTTAGCCAGTAATCAATTGCTTGGCTGGTGGCCATGGTCTGTACCACACTCTCAATGCATATGATGAGTACCCTGATCAAAGGATAGGAAGCAGAAGACGAAAGTGGGTCACAACAACAAAGAAGAGATGGGCTTTAAAAGGAACCAAATTGGATTTTTAGAAATAAAAACTGTTGTGACAAATTGTCATACACAAAGGTCTTGGAAGAAGAATTTGCCTCTGAGGCGCTGGGAGAATAAACAGATTTCTGTTAGAGTCAGGGACAAAGGGAAGGAGTTTGGTGGCTCCTGCAATGAGCCTAGGAGGAGAGTGGAGGGACCCACGTAGTGCAGAGGGTGAGGATCGGGGCTCTTCTGATTCAGACTCTTTCCAGAAAGCAGGCAGCCATGTCAATTTGGCCTGTGTAGAGGGGGTGGGGTTGTCTTACCTGTTGGTCGACAGTGGAGTTCCTCCAAGCTCTATTGGTTCCAATGAGTGGTTCTTCTTACGCTTGGTAGTCTGTCTGGAAGAGTCTAGAGCAGCATCCGAGGACTTTCTGTCTGCCCAGATTAGTCAGTGCTGCCATTCTTTCAGTCAGGGCTGACAAGAGAAAAAGAAAAGATGCCAAGTGACACAGCAAGGGTGAAGGTGGCCTTCAGTGCTCTTTCAATTGTTCTTTTTCAGGGTTGGGGAAATGGCTAAGCAGGAGAAGGAATTTGTTGGCAAGCCTAGGACCTGAATTTAATCCTGTGGGCTCATAAGGTGGAAGGAGCAATCCATTCCCAGCATACACACATGTACACACACACACACACACACACACACACACACACACACACACACATTGCCCTTTGCTGCTGCTGCTGCTGTGTCTCTGTCAGCTTTTATGGGCCACTTTAGAGCATCTTCTTGAACTGATATTTGTTATGACAGCTCACTTCTATTTCTTCTCTTCTTGGGTCTATTTGTGTGTCTTCTTCATACACATGGTCTGAAGAACACCATACAATCATTTTCTGAGTCTCTCCTGGAAGCCAAAAGCTACAGGATAGCTAGCCTCAGGAACCAAAGATACGGTGACTATGATGTTTACTAAGACTGAAGAATTTCCTGAAACACTGAATTTTCTGTGTGAAATCCATAACACTCCCAAGAAAATCAGTCTACTTGGTCAGCCTCCTGAGGGAATGTGTGCTGGATCACACTGTACTTGCTCCAAGAAATAGCCCATGGTAACAGAGGAACTCCGTTTAGATTGTAGTCACTAGAGAAAAGGAATATTAGTAGTTTTGACTGACGTTTCTCCAGGTTCTATATTTTTTTTCCTGAATATGGAGTTGAGAGCACAAATGCTGACCAGGGTGAGCCTGTGCTTATCATAGCTGGGACAGGAATTCCCCATAGCTGTAATCCTTGCAATGACTGCCCTTTGTATTCACTCCTTTAGAGTCTAGGCAAATTCCTACATTTTAGCTTCTTAAATGACCACATAACCAGAGTTACTGAAGTCTTTGGAGGGGAGCAGTTTAGGGTTTGCCCCACTTCACCTTCTTAGGGTGAGTGTTCAGTAGAGAATTCCTCCACCAGCTTTTCCTTTATGGAAGAGAGCTGCACTAGTTTTTTAGCACAAGCATTTGGGCTTTTATTTATTTGTCTAGAGCAAGTAAAAGACATTTGTGAGTGGTAGGAAAAATTTTATACAAGCAGTGGTGTGCTAAAGATAGCTTGTACTGGCTCACAAGAGCCAATGGTTAAATTTCCAGGAAAAATTGAGAGCTTGCTATTAAAAATTAAGCTAAGCAATTATTGAAACAAGTAAGATATAAACTTATAATTAGATTATATTTTAAAGGTAGTAAATAAGACTTATCACTTAATTATCTTACTATTACCTATGATTTCCAAGTTATACATAGTTATTGTTTCTGTGTCAGCTGTTCATCACTATAGGTAATTATCTAACAAAAGCTTTTGTGATGAATAATCTTGATTGTCAACTTGCTGGGATCTAGAGTCACTCAAGAGACAAGCCTCCTAGAATGCTTGTGAGGGATTATCTATCTAGGTTAACTGAGGTGGGATGGTCCCCCCAGTGTGGGTGGTAGCATTCTATGGGATGGTGCACTGAACTATTTTGAATAAAAGGGAGAAAGTAAAGCAGGCAGGCATCTCTCTCTGCTTCCTGCCTGGATGCAATGTGACCAGCTATCTTGAGCGCTTGCCTCTATGACTTCTATACCAGGATGGACTGGATCCCATCCAGTGAGCTGGAACAAATTCTCCTTTCTTTTCATTGCTTTTGTCAGGGCATTTTATCACAGCAGCAGAAAAAGTAACTAATATAGACTCTTAGGGAAAAGGGAGATTTAGTTCACAGTTCCAGATACTTTAAGCGTAAAATGTGTAGTCCAGGCTTTTACTGGGCGGACCCCTAGCCGTATTACCTCATGGTGTGGATAGTGGTAATGGAGTGCTGTGTGAGAACATGCAGTTCACACTCACCCAGGATCAGTGTGAATTTTAGGCTCAGAGAGGCTAAAAGTTCATCCAAAGATGCAGACTTTGTAGAGGAGGAACCAAGATCTGCATCTACCATAGCCTGGCTCCACATTTGTGTATTCCTTTTGGCTTCACACACCTGCCTACTTCACTCTACTTCTGGAAGCTCCAGGGTTACTGAGCCCTTTACTCAGAGTTGGATTTCCTACATAGGCGGCTCAGAGAGAAGCTTCCCCCTCTGCCGCCCCCCCCATGCCCTTCCTCTTTTGTTTCTCGGTCCGGTCCTTCACAGCCACAGGAGAGGATAAATAGGTGTCCAGCTCAGCTCAAAGTGGTGCTGAATGCTGGCTGTGCTGGGTGGGGAAGCCTACAGGAATGAGTGTAAGATTTTAAAACAGAGATGCAGTCATGGGGCCCTGCTCCTCATTGGTCACTTGGGGGGGCTTTGCTGATGAAAACAGACTTACGGTGACTTATATGGGTCACAGGTGGCAAAGGCCAGGGACTGACAGAGTTTAACTGGATTCCATTAGCACCCAAAACATTGTGCTGGGTGAATAGGTACTGCTTGGGCATGAGGACACTGCTTCTTAAAGCACCCTGTATTGCCCCACTGGAAATACTGTATTTAAAGTCAACTTGGTCTGACCTTTAGTTTTGGTGGCATTACTAATTCTATGAAAGCAGCCATTTCCTACTTCCCTAAAGCTTAATAGGAAATCAGACCATTTGTTAAGCCTAGCTCAGCAGATGCAGAGGCTAAAGGCTTGAACATTTTCCCTACAGCCTGGGAGCAGATACAGAATGACCTCCCATATTTTAGTTTCTTTAAAATTCTGACACCAAGGAAATCAGGAAGAAGTGGCATTTAACAATAGGTTAAAGCGTCAGTATGACATTCTAGGAAGCCAGCGCTGGCAGAGTAGGCCGGACTCTTTGGAGAGTAAAGAATACTCCCAGGTTACAGATGTTTCAGAATCCCCAGTCACTCAGTGACAGTCATTAGGTGGATTAGTGTCCACTTGTCACTGTAGCTCTCATCGAAATTTTAGCAGCTTAACACACACCCATTTTTTGGTCTGTTACAGTTAGGCTCAAGTCCAAGTTAGCTTAGCTGGATTTCCTGTTCAGATGTTTAAGATGCTGGCCAGGCAGAACTCTTATTTGGATGCTCTGGGGGAGAGTTCATTTTTACGCTTGTTCATGTTGTTGGGAAAATTTACTTCCTTGAAGTTAACAGCTTCCTTCCTAACTGAGAGATGTTTTCACTCCCTAACTTATGGTTTCCTCCTCTTCAAGGCCAGCACTGGAAGGTTAAGTGTCCCCACATCTCAAAATCTCATTGCCTCATTGCTCTTTCTTTTCTTTTCTTTTCTTTCTTTTTTTTTTTCCGAGACAGGGTTTCTCTGTGTAGTTTTGGAGCCTATCCTGGCACTTGCTCTGGAGACCAGGCTGGCCTCGAACTCACAGAGATCTGCCTGCCTCTGCCTCTGAGTGCTGGGATTAAAGGAGTGTGCCACCAACACCTAGCCTCATTGCTCTTTCTAATGCCTAATTCTTCTTCCAGCTGGAGTGCTCATGTAATCAGACTGGGTCCACAGGCATAATGCAAGTGCCCCCCTCCTGTAAATGGAGATGGAACTTTTCTTTTGTTCTGACCTCTCAGTTTCAAATAATCACACAAAAGCTTATATAAATTATAGAATGCTTGACCCATAGCTCAAGCTTATTACTAACTAGCTCTTCAACTTAAATTAACCCATTTCTATTAATCTACATTTTGCCACATGACTTTGTGGCTTTACCTGTTCTCCCTCAAGTATCTGGCTCGCCTCTCTCTTGACTCCGCTCTTCTTTCTCCTTGTATCCCTTTTGACTTTTTCACCTGGCCTTATTCTGCCTGGCTATAAGCCAATTCAGCTTTATTCTTAACCAATGAAAGGAGTACATATTCACAACGTAAGAAGGGTTTTCCCACAGCATCCTCCCCTGCTCTATGGTCTGTAACAGGAAGTTTGCAATAGGCATGGGGATTTGGAAATACAACTCTTTGGGAGGGATATTCTGTCTCTCATACCTGTATCTTCTTGATCCAGAGCTCAGATACTTGATTTCCAGGATTCTGTAGAAAACATCCGTGTGGGCACCTTGAAAGCTGAATATGTAATACATATGGGAGGTTCAAGGGAAGAAATATTTTAGAGGTAAGAATGCAGATTCTGTAGTTAGATCCACCAATTTTTTTAACAGAATGGATGCTTCTAAGTATGATTTTGTTAATATTATGGTATCACTTGTAAGATAAGTTGTGGGAGAGAGTTTTCTCTTTCTACCATGTTGGTCCTGAGTAGTCAACTCAAGTTCTCAGGTTGGAAGAAAGGATTTCAACTATTGATCAATTTCACTCTTCCTAGGTTGCACCATAAATACAGTTAGTCAAAGCTGAACCGGGAAGGTAACATTCCAGTAGACCCTTGAAAGAGAGTTAATGTAGAAGTTACTTATCACTATAGAAGCTGTTCATGTACAGTCAGTTTCTGATTGGTTTCTTAGCCTTGAGTTTGGATGAGTTCCCAGTGGGAATAGGTGTAGAGCTCAGAAACTGGGTATGGTGACAAATGTTCATAAATTAAAGCAGTGAGGAGGCTAAGGAAGGCAGACTTCAAGTTGCGCTTGGGGTATATAGTTAGTCTGAGAGCATCTTGGGATGAAATGTGAGATTCCCTGCCCCTAAAATTAAAAAAAAAAAAAGTGTGTCGGAATGAATCTTGAGCAACTACACAGTTGGAAATCAAGGAAAGGTGACCAGCAGCCATGTGAAGTGGAGATTGGTAGTGAAGTTCAAGTGTCTATGGCAGTGTTTGTGAGTAGAGAACCTGTTTATCGGTGCCAGATATTACTGATGGACGAATTAAAATGAGACAGATAATTGAGCTCCAGATCCAACAATCCAAGGTCTTTAGCTTCTGTGTCATTAGAACCACAGAAAGCAGGAAGAGAGGATTTGGAGACAGTAATAGTATAGAACACCCAGGAGTTTTGAAGAGGAATAATAAAAGGAGGAAATACCTAGGAGGAAATTCGAGCACGGGTGGTGTGGAATATTATTTTAACTAGGCAAAGATGTGTTACATTTGTTTATGCTGTGGAATATTACTTTAACTGTGTAAAGGTGTGTTATATTTGTTTCTTTTGACTGTTAACAATGCAAAGATGTGTTGCTATTTCACCTTGCCTGCCGAAGGCACCTGAGTGGTCTAATAAAAAATTGAATGGCCAAT